TGAAGAGATGCGAGTCCCAAGGACGCTCGCACAGGGAAAATGGGTCGTGACTTGCCAAATTGTTTACTGTCGCCTTGTTAGGTATCATTTGATTTTGCAGTAGCTGCCGGCGAGAGAGAGGGAAGAGACAAAAACTTGACCGACTTTTCATTAGAAATGTCTTCGAGATTATGAACCAAAGCTCAACGTGTTGAACTGGCTATTTGCTGCTCACCGTTGATACACTTCACTTGCTGTGATTAATCATAAAGTCATTCTCGCCATGCTCTGAACGTTAAGTTAATTAGTTATTGAAAAGACGTGTTTCGGGTTACATGCTTTCTGTATCCGAAAGGGCAAGTTCGCACACTGTTATTTTCTTTGAAGGAACTCAGAGCCGTCGGCGAGTACAATATTGGCATGAATCCCGTGGGTCACGGTGGTGTCGAGGGCCAGCAGCTATTTATCAGGCAGGCAGACTCTTATTATGAATTGTCGATATTTGTTTTGATAAACAGAGATATTAATGTAATTCAAAATTGAAATAATTATATTTTACGTAATTAAATATATTATGAATATTTGTTGCAAGAGCCTGGATAGCGTAGTCAGTATAGCGACTGGCTACAGGCTGGACGGCCAAGGGGTCGGAGTTCAAGTTCAGGTCCTTTATTGTTCCATCGGTGTTTGTTTCCGAGGAAACGTGTTTGCCGTGCCGCTGCCTAGAAATGACGGTCTCTACTCGTTCCACTATTCCGGCTTTCAGGTGTCATGCCACACAGTATTATAATAATAAAGAGAGATAATTTCCTTACACAGCGTTATCGTGTTAATCATTGTAGCGGAGACGTAGTGAGTTCCCTGTGGTCTAAGAACTGTGTTTTGCGTCTATTATTCGGATGAATGTCTTGCTTCGAAAGGCTACGAGCTGTTTATATGAGAGACTTGTGTCTCTGTGTGGGCATGCCCCTGCATTCCTGTCAATGTTATGCAGACATCGCGTTGTGGAGAAGTTTCTCTTAGCTTCCGTCTTCCGTAACGCCTTGGGCTGAGCTGCAGTGAAAGCGGACCATTTCAATAGGTAGCAATCTGTCAGCAAAGAGCTTTGCAGAGGATTCAGCATTGCCTCGAACCTCACTAATCACAATTCATTTTAAGAACTCATTCATTTATTCTTGGAATGGCTTGATGTGGCTCAGGATAGAGACCAGTGGAGAGCCCTTGTGAACACGATAATGACATGACTCCAGTCTCCACACCTAGAACTTCCCGAGCACCAGACAGGAGTGCCAGAATTTGATGACATTCTCTCCTATAGCATCCTCAACATACGCACATATATGCATGCAAATATACATAAATTAATTCCAACCTGGAGGGCCAGGTCCCCGTATTTATATCCGCCAGGAACAGGGTGGCTCGGTTATATCCCCAGGCACTGGGTTCCCTTTCCGTCGCCTCCTACGACTCGCAGGGCTACAGTGGAGGAATTCGAACCCGCCTCCACACGGGATTCAACTACATTCAACTCGCTCGATAGAGTGATAGAGCCTCAGAGCGGATCTACAGAAAACATCGCTTCCAGCAGTACTTCCATTGACGCACGAGGGCCACTGCCTAGCAACGGTTCAGTACTGTTGCGCATTTACGAGGGTGTTGCTTATCAATGGCCTTTGTATCGTTGTTTGTTTCGAAGTCGTTGCCTAATAACAGGTCTCTATCCCACAATAGACACACAGACAGCAAGGCGTTAATAAGCTGCCTTTTATTTTTTAAAATAACGATATCAGACTAAAAAGTTAATTTACCCTTTTATTTAATTTCATAATTAAGTAATATGCCCTGAAGGCGTATGGGATAGTGGAAATAATAGTTCCACAATTCTTAACCTCGGCACTAGATGGAAATTGACGAGTGAATATCCTCACAAAATCCCGTCGCACACATTTCCCGTGGTACTGTTAACGGGTGGGGGGAAATCGTGAAGAAAATTAAGATGATAATGACACGCTGAACGATTATACTGCAGAATCTGGCAAATAGCTTTGTTGAATGGGAACGGGGTTTTGATTCCGCATAAAGACGAAAGTTGTGTGACACACATTCAAACATACTGCTCGGTGTGACAACCAAGAAGTGTACCGTATCGATGCTTAAGTGTATCGAGAAATATTTCTTCGTGGCGTTCCGTAATTCCTTGAGAATAATTACTTGAAAGGGAGACATATATACCCATTGCTACGCAACGATTCGTTAAACACAATCCCGGCAACGAATTTATAAGTCTCACTGTAACTTCAAATCACACATGGAGTCTTCTTTGTACCGCCTAATTCCTTTCTTGCCATTATTCTGCAGTTGCCACTTCCGAAGACTCGACTCAGTTCAATTCCTCTGCTCCCAAGCTCATATCCTGGCAGGCTGTCGTCTCGAAACTCCACTATTCACTCTCGATTACTATTCCGTACTCCGTCGCGTCTTCTGTCTCTGCCCTTTTCAACCCCTTGGCACGGACCCCACAGAAAACACCGTCTTCTATTAAGTATGCGTGTTTCTTGGTCCCTTACCTAGTAGTGGGTATCCTATTATTGCGTTCACGTGTGTTGCGGGAATGTGTGTACAGAGTCGTTCCCTAGCAATGCGTATACACATTACAGTATTATTTAAATAAACTTTATATTTCAAACGGTTAATAAGCTTCAGTTACATCTTTACTCTGTTGAAGACTGTGAATTTACATGTAAAGAACATGATGAGTTATACAAAGAGAAAAGCGACTTACTTATGTACATACTTACTTATGGAGCTGAGCCCTTCTTTGAGAGAAGCCAAATCTGCAGTTACTCAAGAATTTCCCAACATTTATGAAACCCGAAGTTTCATTACCGTGTTCACAAGAGCCCTGCACTGGTCCATATCCTGAGCCAGATCAATCCAATCCATCCCATCCTATCTCTCTAAGATCCATTTTAATATTGTCCACCCACCTACGCCTTGGTCTTCCCAGTAGTCTATTTCCTTGTGGCTTTCCCACCAATATCCTTTATGCATTCCTTTCCTCCCCCATTCGTGCTACATGCCCTGCCCACCTCATCCTCCTTGACTTGATCATTCTAATTATACTTGGAGAAGAGTACAACTTATGAAGCTCCTCATTATGCAGTTTTCTCCAAGCTCCTGTCACTTCAGCCCTCTTCGGTCCAAATATTCTCCTCAACACCCTCAGTCTATGTTCCTCCCTTAATGTCAGAGATCAAGTATCAAACCCATACAGAACAACAGGCCAAATTATATTTTTGTATATTCTAATTTTTATGTTTCTGGGCAGCAGACGAGGAGACAAAAGGTTCTGGACTGAATGGTAGGCATTACCCGAGTTCAATCTCCTCTTAATTTCCTCCTGAATCAGGTTTCGATCTATTATCGTCGTTCCAAAATATCTGAACTGTGCCACATTTACATCTGTTTCCTATCTTTATGTCATGATTTTGCCCTGCATTTTGGTCACGAGACAGCAACATATACTTAAAGAGAAAAGCAATGCAAGTTAAAACGTTTAACGAATCAGTTGTTGAGGCAAAATGTTGAGGTTCTCACAGTGCAGGATATGAAGAGTGATAACTTCTTTGATTTGAGAGCGTGTAGTCTGTAGGAATTTACCAGAATTTCGGAGGAATTTCTTGTCTCCCTTCTTGATGAATGTGCCGTGCAAGCTCCATCTTTCTGCTGTTTTCTTTCAGTCACTCATGGAGATGAGCCCTTCTTGAGGGGCCGCCAATTTTGCAGTTACTCCAGAAATTCTCAGCATTTTATGGAACCCGAAAGTTCATTACCATGTTCACAAGATCACTCCACTGATGCATATCCTGAGCCAGATCAATCCAGTGCATACCATCCCATCCTATCTAAGACCCATTTTTATTTAAGAAGAGAAATTTTAAAATAAACTAACATTTGACCTTAATATAATGTATTGATTTCACAGTCCAATTTCTTGGTTATTTGTTGAAAATTGTTTTGTCCGAATATTTTTGACACTGAAGATTGAGACAGTCGAAACGAAGGAGGATCTTTGCAGGACTGTAAGGCGTCACAATCCAGAAGATACTGCTGTATCATGCCACGATACAACTTTTTCCTACAGCACTTTAGACAAGACTACAGGTGTGTGTGTGTGTTTGTTGGTAGTGAGAGAGAAGTACATACTTTCACTGTGGCACAGCTTCTGTGTGTGTGTGTGTGTGTGTGTTAGGAAGCGACTCATTTTTTGTTGCATACTCCAGAACTGGTTGGACGAGGCATCTTCTACACGACTTTTACCCCCGCAGGAATCCTATCCCGACTCCAAATATATTCTTGGTATTTAGTTTACCATCACATCAGTTTAGGTGTTTACGTTGGGGGGGGGGGACCACTAGGAATGATTAACGTAGGTGGGAGGATAATATTAAAATGGATATTAGAGAAATAGTATGGAGTGATATAGACTGGGTCAATCTGGCTGAAGATAGGGACTGGTGGAGGACTCTTGTGAACATGGTTATGAACAATTTCTTTATTAGAGTCCGTCACAACACAACAATATAAAGGTCAAGGCTAAAAGTAGCTTGGCTATTATAGTATATGCTGCTTGCTTGACTAGAATTTATAATTTTCATTTCGTGTATCCTGTTGTATTACAATTTCTTGATTAGAGTCCGTCACAACACAACAATATAAAGGTCAAGGCCAAACTAATTTTAGCCTTGACCTTTATATTGTTATGTTGTGACGGACTCTAATAAAGAAATTGTATACAAGTATAATAACACAACAGGATGCATTAAATAAAAAAAATGGTTATGAAACTTGCGATTCCATAAAATGTTGGGAATTTCTTGAATATCTGAGCGACTGATGGCTTCTCATCTCCATGTAGATTTACGGAAAGTGTTAAACCCATAGACACGCTAGTGTACTTATTTTGCATGCAACTGAATGATATGGCTGTCGCTACATGGTGGGTTGTGTGTTGGCCACAGGTGAGATTGCTCGACAGAACCGCATAACACAACAGATCCTGGCACAATATCTACAGAGACGCCTGTTTCCAAACCTCAGTACCACGACGACACCCTCACCGACCGTCCTCCTCCGACTAAGGGATCAGCATCACCATCATCAAGCTCATCAAGTCGATGGCGATGACAGGCTGGAGACAGTAGAGTCGGAGCAAATCTCCAATGTCTACTTCACCTCGGAAGGTGATTTCGGAATATAAAATGGCCCATTGCTTAACATTTTGAGGCTCCGTCAACATTTTAAAAATGAATGGTCAACAGACCGGTATGAACAGTTTCGTTTCCCGTTGTGTATTTATATCTGAGAACATATTGCCCCGTGTTTATTGTCGTGACCAATAATAACGGGTTTTGGTTTGGATCATTGTATTTATTGACACTTCTTTATAGTCTCTTTCAATCACAACAAATTACAACGCTGCCTAAGCATCGCTTCATTCTGATCTGGACTGCGACTGTCTTCTCTTCTGGTCCTTCTGCTCTTTTCTTTCTTCTGCTGTGACTGACTTGGTTCCCAGTTACTTCACAATTGATTCTTATTTTCCACTCACTTCTGCTTCCCTCTCCTGGTTTCGGTCTCCAACTCCGATTGACTTGGTTCCCAGTTACTTCACAATTGATTCTTATTTGCCACTCACTTCTGCTTCCCTCTCCTGGTTTAGGTCTCCTACTCCAATTGACTTGGTTCCCAGTTACTTCACAATTGATTCTTATTTTCCACTCACTTCTGCTTCCCTCTCCTGGTTTCGGTCTCCTACTCCGATTGACTTGGTTCCCAGTTACTTCACAATTGATTCTTATTTGCCACTCACTTCTGCTTCCCTCTCCTGGTTTCGGTCTCCAACTCCGATTGACTTGGTTCCCAGTTACTTCGCAATTGATTCTTTCTTGGTTCCTATCTGAACGGCCGCTTATTTAGTGTATCGGTGTCCTAGGAAATGTTTGTTGAATATTCATTCACACGGAAACGTGTTTTGTACTGAGTTGGTCTCCGTGGAAACGTGTTTGTCAACGGGTTCCCTAGCATTTAGTTCACATGTCACAATGTATTTGAAAATGAGACTTAATCGTTTAATAGCTTCTGTGTAAATGGCATCGAATATTCGCGAAATAATCTCATGTCGACAGGAAGGGTCATGCTTAAGAAATTTTTGCCGAGCTGGTTGATGTAGCGGTATAGCTCTGGACTCTTATTGCGCAGGTCTTCGCTTCTAATATCTGCAACGACATCAGATATTCTGAGCTCTTTCGTGATTTTCCTCAGTCCTATCAGGTTAATGCCGCAACAGTAGCTGAATTACGACACAGCCGCTCCTTTCAAATTATTTCCAATTCGTTATTCCTCTATAATCTTACCGGTCGGCGCTCTGATTTAAGTAATCACAACGTCATGAAGTTATCCACGTAAAGGAAGCTTCTTGTTTTATTGAGGTTAGAAACCAGAAACAGAGGATTTTTTTCTCTACAGCCTTTTGAACCTTGGTCGTTTTTTCAGTTTCTTAATCGTATACAAAGTCGGTAGGACGCCTTGGACGGGTGATCGGCCCGTCTCAAGACCGCTACCTGCACACACAAATAAAAGCACATTGATATACATGCCTCGAGTGGGCTTCGAACCCACGATCCCAGTGTTTGAACGGACGGAGACGGTTCATGCCTTAGCGCGGTCACTGTAATCGGCGTTCTGAAAGAAAACTCAAAGGAGAAACTCGAGGAAATGGAAATAATAATATCAGTATCGTTGTGTAGAGAGCCATTCATCTGTCCTCTTCACAACTCATCTCAGCGGGATCTTGTTTCGTGCAGCACTCCCGTCTGGCCGGACTCTCCACTGTCAGTCGACCAGAAACCAAATTCTTATATGTTTTGTTTAACGGCACTTTCAGTAGCTCAAACTGTGCAGCCTTGAACAGGCGCATTGTATTTAGATGGTTATATAGCACACTTCCTTCGCTGATTAGTAATTATGTCGTCAGTAATAAATTCCTAATTAGTTACTTAATTAATCACTTAGGTAATATGGCTGTCAGTCACTCACTTGTTACACAGCCAATCATCCGTTTAGTTAATTTATTAGTTGGTCAGTCAGCCGATCAGTGTGTTGCCAATCAACCTTTCAGATAGTCAGTAAGGCCGCCAAACAACGGTCATCCAGTCAGACTGCGAGCCAATCAGACATTCAACCAGCCATTCAGCCGTCTAGCAGCCACCTAAATATTGAGCCAATCAGTTGTTTAGTCAGCCACACAATTAGCCAGACAGCCAATCGGCTTTCTGGTCCGTCACCCAGTTAAGAAGACATCCAGTCAGCCAGCCAGTCTAGTGAGCCATCCTGACAGCTGGCCAATCAGTCTTTCAGTCAGCCGACCAATAGCCGAAGCAATCAGCTATCCAGTCAGCTACTTAGCCACATAGCCATCCGATCAGTCATTTATTCCGTCAGCCAATCAAATATCCAGTAAGTCTTATAGTTAGTCAGCCACTCAACCGTGTAAAGAGTCAACCGAAAAGCATCGAGTCCGTCAGCAGTCAGTCAGTCATATAGTGAGTCAGTCGTATAACTGTCTAGTTGTTTGCTTTATGGCTTACTTCCATAACTTTGAAAAATAAAACGCATATGACATCATCCTGCTGTCTGTGTGTGTCCTTCCTTCCAATTTTTTCTTTTTCTACGCAGTTTGTGCCGTATCAGTGAGGCTTATGAGATCATCTCGCTGTCTGTGTGTCTGCGAAACCCCTATTTTTTGGTTTTGTATGCGGTCCGTGCCCTAGAAAAGGACAGTAGGCGATTAGTTCTTCCCAGAACTCTTTGTTTAATTATTACTCAGTCAGAACCTTGAAGAAACCCGACATAATATGTTCAGTACTCGAGCGTGGTATGCAGTGAGTCGGTCTAGTCCCTCAAGCCGGACAGACCCACAACAAAAATTTATTGTACATCTGGGTTTTCGACAAAAATATAATATAACAAGCTTATATATGTAATGTTATTTTGTAATGCGGAAGGCGGACCAGTGTTAGAAATTAATGCATCTGAAATGAAAAAAAAAATTAACTATCTTATGAGTTATGAAGTCGGGGAATCATAATTATAAGGGGTGTTATTTGTTTAGTACTGAAGCGTAAGTTACCCTACAGGGGATACTCCAGGTTGCGTATAGGTTCACGTTACAAATAACGTTAATGTCTTAACATATAATTTTTATTCTGTGTTTGCTACACAACGACAGGGCCCCAACTTATTAGCGATGGACCATTTTATGTTTCTGAGACTTCTTTTTCCTCTCTTTTATATCTTTTCATGTTTTCTTTCATTATTTAATTCAATGGGATATATCGTCAATTGATAAATAACAGATCAATAATGGTGGATATGTAGAAACCCCCGTGTGGAGGCGGGGTCGAATACCTCCACCGTAGCCCTGCGGGTTTACGAGGCGACGAAAATGGAACTCAGTGCCTGCGGGTATAACTGGGCTACCCTGTTCCTGGGGGCTATAAATATTGGGACCTGGCCCCTCAGGTTGGGGGAGTATCGAATCTGAGACAGTAAAGTATGGTCATGAGTCCTGCGGGACTTTGACGCAAGAATGACTGCGCTGGCGAAGACCAGCAGCAAGCACAAACTACAAACCCGTCCTCTCGTCAGAGATGGCGCCCCACATCAACAAACTCGCAACTGTCTGCCAGGATAAAAATCTGGTTTCGGGCCCCAGATGGGGGCTTGACACCAAGATAGATTGGCCGACTGACCGTCAATCTTATTCTTTTGGATAGATAAAGTGAGAATCAATTGAAAGGGAAGAAATATTTTATTTCCATCCACCACTACTCACTGAAGCATCGTCTGATATTTCTTTGAATCTTTAATGTATGTTGGCAGCTATTTGTACTTTCAGCTTTAATGTTCATTTACGGGACCCTTGCCGTTCTCAGAAAGGAAGACAATGATTGCTTTCCTAAGCAGCCGTAACCAGTTAGACCCCGTAATTGCTGTAAGCACGAAGCGACAGGTTACAAACTGTTGGGTGAGAAACAGTGGAGCGTGGTCGCTGTAGAAATGGGAACACATATCTCAGTGGTGGAATCTGTGTTATATCCTCTTCGTCACCCAGTTCTGGCGTATTTCCTCATCACTGGAGAAACCAGCCTTCCTTAAGAGATTCTGCCAGATGTGTCTCTTCCTGGCTAGGTTTTTTCTCTCCAGTTTCTGTCGCTAGAGCTTTAACATAATTGCCCACTCAGTCTCTCTGTCTCAGTTTAGACCTTAATCTTTTTATTCTGCCATCTGACTTGCCGGTATAAACTGCATCCTGTTGTGTATATAATATTTTATTTTTATTTGTATAATAACCGTCAACGGGGACACGCGGTAGCGTAGTTGGTTGAGGCACTATGCTACAAGCTGGAAGGTCGTGAGATCGAATCCCGATGAGGTCATTGGATTTTTTTTTCAATTTACCTAATCCTTCCAGCCGCAATATGGCCTCTGGGTTCGACTCAGCCTCTAACAGAAATGAGTACCAGGCACGTATTCCTATACTGAGTGCAATTAATATGTTTTTTTTTTCCTTGGAACTACAGCCTCAGTGGGCCTAGGCCTACCTCCATGAACTCCGTTCACAATTAATATGTTTATCCTGTTTAATTTAATCACCCTGCGGTTTGCGAATTAGTGGGATAATGCAATGTGTCTGGCCTTGCGGTACCAATGCTAATTTGGCGAGCTGCCGGTCCTTTTTGCTGGCAGATCATGGTCAGGTCTCTGAGACTTTCGACAGTCGAGCTGACGTAACCGCCCTAACTTGTGCTCCGTAACAAAGCGCCTCAGGTTAAGATGAGGCAAACCGTTGCTGGCCGGAGCAACTCTGTGCATCTTCTTGCAAAACATATTTAAAAGAAATACCTGTGTGTTCCTGAGTGTTTTCATTCCATGGAAATGGTCGCAGCGAATGAGGGCACCTAACATAATGAATCTGTTACGATTACATTTAAGAATGTTACTTATCTCAAGGGCAATAGGCCGCGCCATAGCTCAAGCGGTTAGTCGCTGGCTCCCCACCGTGGTGGCCCGGGTTCGATCCCCGGTCTGGTCAAGTTGAATTTGTGGTGGACAAAGTGGTGCTGGGGCAGGTTTTCTCCGAGTACTTCGGTTTCCCCTGCCAATCTGCATTCCACTAATT